GAACTAAGCCCCGCCTTACATTTTTTTCTTTTTTTGAAAATCCGTTTCACTCTGATGAGTTGTTTTCTGAGAAACTCATCAAAATGAGTTTATAATTAAAACAAGAACAAGTATTTGTCAATGAGCTCGTCATCTTGACGTTTTTGTTTATTTTGTTCAGTTTCGTAGAAAATCGACTAAATATTTTTATTTTGCATCTCCAGTAAAAGTATCTTGATTTAACGATGTTTAGATATTTCTACTGGGGGAAAAAAAAGTAAAAAATATTAAGGAAGAGTGCATGACTTATGAGTTTAAGACCTGCTGCTCTGATTTAAGCGCTTTTAAGGCCCACAGAAACCCTGTTAAAAGCCCAGCGCAGCGTCAAAACCAAAGGGAAGGAGACATGAATGCTCAAATAAGCCCTTAAAGAATGAGATTTAATTACTGTCACCAGATAAATTTATTAAAGCTCATTGTGAAGTTCAAATCAGCAGCATGTGTTCATATTCACTCTGTTCCAAACCCTAGTGCTCTACATAGACAGCACACTTCCAAGACAACTCAAATCAGTAGTGTTTTGCTAAGATAACAACAGAAATAATAGCAGCTAAATATTAGGTCAAACAGCTCATTTAAAATGAGATGGGACTCTATTTGTCTATATTTTTACTTAAAGGGGTCATATGATGTGATTTCAAGTTTTCCTTTTGAGAGAGGCGGGGCATAGAGGACCTACAATAATGTACAGTATTTGAAAAATAATGTGTTTTTTGAACATTAAAGCATGTCAACATATTCTGTTACACCAAATACACCAAATAATGATCTTTAAAAAACATCATATGACCCCTTTAACAAATGAATTCTAAAAAATATGGTTCTCTTGCTTGATTGATGGATGATTTCTGTTGCAATGCATTCTGGTATAATGGATGTTATTTAGGCGCCGTTCACACAGAACACAATTTTGTATTGAACTTTACTACTTTTGCATTATTTTTAGTAAACGCACGCTAGACAGTGTTGTTTTAATCACTGAAGAGTTCTTTTATTTATGGCTTTTTAATTTTATATTTTCTGTTTTCATTTTCATTTTAGCTAAAGTTTTAGTCATTTTTTGTGTGCTTTTGTTATTTTTTTTACAATATGGATATTTCAAAAAAATGTTTTTATCAACTTTTATTTTAGTTTTAGTTATTTTATCTATTTACACTAAAAATAAAAATCATGTATTTTTTGCAACAGTTTTATAAAATGCGTCACTCGAGTTAAAAGACTTGCATTATATATTTTCATAAATAATTGTAAATGCATTATAACATGTGAAGGTTTGTGTTTTAATGCATTATACTCTCTAAAGGTGCAACAATGAATAGATTAGTATTATAACTGTGGTTATAATTATTCATGAGATCATATTATAAGGTGCGTTTTGAGGCATAATTAATGCATTAAAACTACTTTCATAATGCATTATGCATAAAGGCTTTAAGTAAAGTTTTTAAACCCAATGTTTATGTTTTTAAACACAAAATCGTGTTGTGTGTGAACGGCCCCTTAGAAGGCAGCATAATGTAGCAGACTTAAAATGTTAAAATGCAATCTAAGTAGGAAGCTCACTAGGTTTTGGAACAGAGTTCATGGTTTTAAAAAATCAAGTAGATTACATACAGTACTTTATCTCCTTATTAAAATATAATCATTTATATACAGTAAATCTGTCTGGAAGGAGTCTGAAGAAGATCTGCCGCTGGAGAGCATCACATTCGACCCTCGTTCCCTCGATTGTTTGATTCAAGTGTGTCTCGTTTCCCGAGAGCGTCTGGATGTTCAGCGCCAGGCGTGCGCTCCGTGCTTCTCCTTCACCAGCATCATCTGATCGATGACTTTCCCGTACTGCAGACAGAGCTCGAGTCAGTCTGCAGCACTCACACACACACACACACACACACACACACTCACACACACACACACAGTCTCACTCACACTCACACTCACACACACACACACACACACACACACTCACTCACACACACACAAGCGAGAGCTACCTGGTCGTCGGACACCTGCTCCAGGTACAGATGCGTGCCGTTGATCAGACGCATGCGTGTGTAGCCGTAATCCGTGCTTCTGAACGCGCTCCAGTCGCGAGGTTTAGGGATGAAGCCGTCGTGTTTCTCTCGACAGCCCTGAACAAGACAAAACCACACATCTGCTAAAATACCAACACATGGCATACTGTATCCCACAATGCAATGCACTCAACTCGCCCTTACGTTTCCAGAGCTGGAAGTCATTTTTTTAATGCAAAATTCAATTTAAAATGCAAACATGAAACACGATGAGACAAACTGAATCCTAAATGTTTATTGTTGGGTTCTGGAAGTTGGTGGATGATTTTTATTACAATGCATTCTGCTAAAAAGGTGGTTATTTAGGGGTCATTCACGCAGAACACATTTTTACACTGCACTGCGGTACTTCTGCTTTTTTTTTTTCCTAAGTAAGCGCATGTTAG